CGGTGTTATTCTTTGTGTTATTCAGGCTTCATCATAAGGAAAATCCACTTGTTGTGTGTGGTTTGTAACGGAAGGTAAAACAATATGGAAGGTGGGTGGAGTGAGAAGTGCTGAAGAGAAAAGATAGAAATTTGTTTGCTTAGAAGCTAAAATGGCGAATTGTCATTTTTACACGTACGTAAAAGTGGAAATTAGTGAGAGCCAAGACTTAAATGAGAAAAGCAATACTACTGTCTTATATGTGATCTGAAGCTAATATGAAGCTCAAGCCAGCAGACATTTAGCTTGGCTTAGTTTAGCATAACAACGAGGAAACAGCTCGTCTGGCTCTGTCCACAGGTACCAAAGCAGACCACCTCAGGTTAACAGTTTGGCACAAAATCCACCATAAATCTACAAATTACCCTTTGTTTTTTATGGTTTAGACAAACAACATATAGAGAGGATAGATATGTGAGCTTTAGAGGTGAAATCTGTTACTTTTGGACAGAGCCAGGCCAAGTGTTTCGCCCTGTTTCTGGTCTATAGCTAAACTAACCTGCTGCTGGATCCAGTGGTACTGAGCCTGTCATCTCACTTTTGGCAAGAAAGCAATGAAATGCATCTCCGTAAATGTTATTTTTTTTAGTAAAACTGAGGTCAAAACAACCACAATTAATACACATTTCATACAGATTCTAGGTTAGTTTACATTTTTCATACTTCAAGGATAGTTGTTAGTTTAACAATTCAGGAGCATAGACTGGGAGACTCAGTCCATCAAATATTAAATATATATAATCAGATCTAAACACTAAAGGCCATCAATAAGTAAAATACAACTTTTATCTTTTCCCCCATGTACTATCATGTTTTTACTGCTTTACTTACTTATCTTGTAGCTCATTCACTGAAGATGTTCATCCACTCCCCTGATCAAGACAGTCTGACGACTGCTGCTGTAGCTTGATTCACCCACTAAGTGTCAGTGTGTTCCATGACAATTACTGTGTGTGTGTGTGTGTGTGTGTGTGTGAGAGAGAGTGTGAGTGTGTGTGTGTTTTAAGTTTTGCATTGAGACTGTTAACTTACTATGCCATCAGTGAGCTGCATGTAAACATGAGAAACATGAGTTTCACAGTTACCAGGTTACAATGAAAGAGAATTTAAACATTTCCTGCTTTAACAAAATAATGGACTTCCTTGTGTGTATATAAACATAGTTCATATATATATATATATATAAATAAATCAGAAATATATAAATCAGTACTCTTAGTCTTAATTAATACATTACAGTCTGTGGAAGCCTAGTACAGTCCGTAGAGGCCAATTGCTGTAGCTGTATAATACTTTAGCTGCTTTTAGATTAGTTTTTTGTGCAAAGTTAAAAAATATATATGAAATATATTCCAATAGGACTACAAAAAGAAATTATATTTAGTATCTCTGTATATTTTACCTGTAACAAACATTTGGACATTTTTCAATTATTTTTCTGTTTTTATTGATTTAAATATCTTCCATTACATTGAACTTGTAAGAAAAATATGTGTATGTTAATGGGGTTCTTAATAAAATCCTAATAAATTAAGAACAGAGTAACTCCATTATGCCATGAAGACTTACTTGTGTCAATAACATAATAGTATTCAGCATTTAAGCCAATGCAAGCGGATCTTGGTGGATGTTGTGGGTATGTGTTGTATTCAAATTAAAGAAATATAAGTGTAATGGAGTGGAGTGTTCACCCAAGTCTCACATCTTGGCTTCATGTTTCAAATATAATAACAAACACTAAAATACTCCCTTTTTGGTTGCTTCACACCTCTCAGTCAGTTTGAATATAACTGACTAATGAATTACATGTTATGGTCTTGTTAAAATTGTTGTTTTGTTTTTGTTTTTTTCAAATAAATTAAAGGGATTCCTCTTAAACACCAACATTGTTCTACAGCTACAACCACACAGGCCTCAGTGAAAGAGTAATGTCAAGGACACACAGTTCATGTTCAACGCACTGAACAGACTCCCTCAGCTGACAGGAAGCCATCCCTGTAAACAACTTCAATTTGCTTTGTGTCTAACAGAACATTTCATATCCTAAACACCACCAAAACAATAGAGCTCTCCTCCCTCACTACCTGGCCCAGTAAGGGTGTAATCAGTGACACCCAGAGCCCCCTCCAAAAACTGTACATTCTGTTAAGACTGTGTAACCTCAGCTACAGCAGCAGATGCTGCACACCTACAGCAGCTGCTGGTGTGTGGGAGTGGTACAGCTCTGGCTGTGGTTCAGCTGTTTCACACCCATGTGGGCAGCTTTTGAGAACAGTCTATAAACAGTATCTGGATGGTTTGGAAACATTTGGTTTAGATAAACAGTTTTCTCTGGAACTGTTTCTCAAGCTTCTTAAAGTGATTATTAAATATCTTTGATATGATTTCACTCTTGTTCTGCAGAAGGTAGAAATATTCAGTCTTTATCATTCTCCTTATCATAATATATTACGGTGCTCAGTGATATGATGAAATTTCGGGCAGTTTCTAGCTCAATAACTCAGGGATCGTCTGTGAATTGTAATGTGTCCTTTCATAAAACCTCCTTTGGAAAGTTATCTTTTTCCACTGGAGTGTGAACTCACAGAAATCAAAATTAATCATAAATAGGATCATTTTAAACTCAAAATGAGGAAAATTTATAGTGTTGGATGATTGCATGTCTTTCATCAGTGTTAATGGAAGTTTTATCATACAACAATATATTGTACTGTTTGCGTTTTGCATTGTTTGGTATTTCACACGTTGAACTGTGCACATTTTTATAAAGGCCCATCTGGGGACCAGAAAGTTGTTGAAAATGGTGTCTAAGATTATCCAGAGTAGTTTGGACATTTTGCTGTTGCATGTTTTCCACATGCCATTTTTCAGTGCGTTGAGCATCACAAACAAAACCCCATTCACCTTTAATTTAACTGAGGAACTGATCTACCTGCATGGCTCAGCACCACTACAATTGAGGGTATAAATATGTATTTTTGTTGTGTAAGTGAACTGACCCTTTAATGCGGTTTTCAGACCAGGAGTATGTGACTATTTGTTCTCACTTGTAGAGGCACACACATTGTTCCAAGTGTTCTGCAGAAGTATAGTGCAGCCACCCTTTAAACAGGAAACACTTATATCTTTCTATACTGGATATATCCGTTCCAGGCGCACACACCACTACACCTTTGTCCATACTCTTACTTGTTTGTAGATGTAGCACTAAGAAAGGCAATTCCAGTTCCATGTTACACAGGCTTAGATTAAAAGGCCGAATAGACTGAAGTAGACTGAAGCGTTTTTGAAATGTTAAAGCTGCACGTTTCAGCTCTGCATTGTGAAACAAGCCTGAATTTGTTCTCTTCTTTAATTTTGTTCATTTTTTTTTGATGATCTAACAATATAGCTAGTAGCTACTTTTACAAGAACAGTTCGACCTTTTGAGAAATGGGCTTATTCACTTTCTTGCTTGAGTTATCAGCCTAAAGTTTTACAACAATTCCAGTTTTTATTTCAGCAGTTCAAGTCCAGTGACAAACCTTAAATGGCACGAAGGTAAGTGGTAAAGTGTTGATGGTCAAAAAAAAAAAAGTTTAGGTCACCAAAAATGTAAAAATCATGTAGAAACCAGACTCAGGGATTAAGAGGTTGGTTAACTTGCGGCTTTTCTGTAACAATAGCAGAAGAATACTGTACATACAGCAAGATAATGGTCCAAACCATTACAAGAACAGAACCAGACAGTGGCTTCACATGGTGGAAGATCAGCACAGTCTCCAGACTTATTGCATGTTTTGAAAGCATAACAGCGACACATGCTAACCTTAGATTATTTTTATTTCATGCTCAGTGTTAAGTCTGCTGGGTATCAATGAAGTAGCAGAGCTGAGAGTGGACTGCGCTCTGTCTTTTATTAAAATAATATTTTTTATTGCGCAAGAACTCTCCAACTGATAAAAGACATTAATCAGGCGTATAAATTATGCAACAAGACTTTCTTACTGATTGAGCCAGGCAGGCAATATCCTGTGAATAGATCCAAACTGCAAATATAGCCAATGAAAATAAAAAATATAAACCCACCCATACCCTTGTCCACACATGAAGATATAAACAATCCACTTCAACCTCAATTAAATCAACACTGTGTGTTTATGTCTCATATTTGTCTCTGATATCCTGCGTTTGTTGGCGCCTTTTATCTGCAATCTTGTCCTAAATGTTGCTTAAGGTTTGGCCATCAACAGTTCCTCTATGAATTACTGCTTCCTGTCAAGATGAGGCCTGGCACATCAACAATGCCTGGCAGGAAAAAGATCTGACTAACTGTCTGACTCTTGAATTTCATTTCAAATTGAGTGTCTGGGTGTGTGTATGTTAGTGTGTGTGTGCGCACCTCCTATGAGACAGAGGGCAGCTTACCCACGTCATCATGTTGGACTGAGACTCGCAGCATCAAAGAGCCACTGAATGAGAACGTCAGAGGAACAACATGAGCCATTGTCCTCCTGGCCAGCTATGCACCGGAAAACACTGTCCATGATCCCATAAAAAATGTTTTTGGGACATTTATGGAGGAGTTGTGCACAGCTCTTTATGGCCTGTGGTCACAAGAGAAAACAGAAAGTGTTGTCAATGTAAATGTCTTCTAATCAACATTTCTTCATCATCTGTTCTATATCTGTTCTGCATTCCTGCTTTAAAGATTCATAATAATTTGCTCAACACTAAATGGTCAAATGACAGTTTATGATGAGGAAATGCCAATGTGTGTGTGCGTGAGTGTGTGTGTGTGTGTGAGAAAGAGAAAGAGAGAGAGAGTGAGAGAGAGTGGGTCGGCTTGTACTGTACATGCATCCCATCTGACCGCGTGTGTGTGTGTGTTGATAACCTCTAAGGGGCAGCCAATGCTGAAGGCAGATTGCTGATGGAGGGAGGAGACTGAAAAGTTTATAAATTCTTATCCATGTTTACACTTTGCCCACAATCTGATCAACCCTCATGTTATCAACAGTGCAGAGAGGAAACGTCTGGCCCACATCTGTAGTGGGGTTTTTTTAAGGAAGGGGCACAAGTTTAGCACGAAATGGACTGTGAAATCGTATGGCTGGTCTGAGATAATCCAGCATCATCATATCTGTTCAATTGGTTTGCAGAGTGCTGAAGAGGAAGGTGTCTGTCCTCTGATATAGCGATGGACCAGTGAGCTTTGAACTTGGCTGGCAACTCATAGTAATCCTCAAGCCTTAGACTGGACTCTACTACTTCACTTTCATCTTCTCATCAGCAACCATGTACAGCAGTGGCTACTCCCAGGTGTCCAAACACAGTCCGCAGGCCCAAAAGAGGATGCAGTACCGCTCAAAGGGCAAGAGCTGCGGCTACTACATGCGCATTGTCTTCTTCTTCTCTTCACTTATTCAGTCTCTTATCATAGTTAGCCTCGTGCTCTTCCTGGTCTACGGTAAGAATCAGGACTCGGCATCCACAGCGCGCATCCAGGACCTGGAGGAGAGCTTCAGCCGACTCTCCATAGAGAATGTCGGCCTCAGGCAGCAGAGGAAGAACCTGACCACCTTACTCAATGCCACCCTGACTGAAAAGGCCCGTAACGACTGGGACTTGGTCAAAATCCGCCACCTCATCAACATCTCAGTGGTCATGATCCAAGACTTAGAGAAGAGACACGTGAGAAGCTGATATACACTTTTTTATTATTATATCTAAAATGCAAGTTCCTGTCTTTAGTGTGACTGTCTGCTCTCATGTGAAATTGAACCTCTGTCTAATTTGGGATTCAACTCCTAATGTTTCAACCACCATAGAAATTAGGATGTGGGTACATTTGTGTCAGCATGGTTCACTAACTGTTGATATGTTTGAAGCACTCAGTATAGATATACTGCTAATTACTGTCTATGTGTACTTTTACAATTTTGTCATTTTCAAAACAAGAGGAAACACATCTGATTCTTTTATTTTGAGTCAAAGTACCACTCTTGTGTTGAACAGACATATTTGTGAGACAGTTTTAATATAACGACAGCTTTGATGAAAGATCAGTAGTTCTTCCTGATTCTGGTCTAGAAAAAAGTCGTTATAACATTAATGGATTTCTTCTTTTGCTAACATGAACAGCAACAGTGCAATACCGAGATGATGATGTACAGGATCTCAGGTCAAGGCTGCAAAGTACTAAGTAAGTATGTCTGAGTAAGTAACCCAAAAACAATCACAATACATTTATAAATTATAAAATTATTATTCTAAAATTACAAATTGAAGTTATTCTCCCTAATCTTTTTGATGAATTTTAGAGAAAATAGTTTTACCTGCTTTTTTTTCTCTTTTTCCATTATCCTTATTTCCATTAACTTTTTTAGTGCCAACTCCCGATACCTGCAACTGTGGTATGCTGGTTGAACGGATGAAAGCCAGGCTTGATCTTGTTGAGTCCAACTTCACCCAAACAATCAAGACGATGAGGGTAGAAGTGGAGCAGACTGCCAGAGAGAGAGACTACATTAACCTGGAGGCCATCCGTCTGAGGAGGGACAAATCCACACAAGAAAAGGAGCTGCAGTTCTATAAACAAAGATGTAAAGAGGACTTTTCCCAGTCCTTGAGCGGTGTCTCCAATGTCTCCAAGGCTTTCCTACTGAAGATTGAATCCCTCTTCCCAACACACATTGCATTCCAGCTCACCTGTCCGAAACAGAGGGAACACCTGGAGCAGATCCGAGCCAATTGCACCAACCTGTCCAGAGAAGTGGAGGACAAGCTCCAGCGTTACCTGAACACTGTGGGAGAGCAGGTGTCCGAAATCCAAGCTGAGAACAGTCGCTTCAAGGCAGAGAACTGGCGACTGTCTGAGGACTACCGCTGGTGCACGCAGAACCGCTCAGGCCTGATTCAGGAGCACAAACAGAACTTTGAAAAGCTTCAGCGGAAACATGATCAGGACAAGGAGAAACTCCTGATGGAGAAGATGAGGCTAATTGGAGAGAAAGAAGTCCTGGAACAAAGTGTCAGATACAAAAGTAAAGAGGTTGATCACCTCACAGTGCAAGTCAAGCATCTCAACATGTCCTGTGTGCGTAAGGTAAGAAAAAAAGTACCATGACATGAACATGTTATATTCTCTGCAGGGGTGTCAGCAGCAAGGTGGCCTTTGGGGGCCACAAGCTCGGCTTTCTGAGCTCTTTTGTATTCTCCAGTCAGCCATTAATTACCAAAGTAACATTCAATTTACTCAAGATAAAAAAATAAGAATAATTTGAAGCTGTTTGTCAATGAAGGCAGAGAGAAGGGAAAAGATAACAAAATATCAAATAGTGATTTTGTTGAGTTTTACTCAGGGAGGAGGGAAAATGTCTGTCAATAAAGAACAAGAGGACAGAAGTGTGAAAAACTGGGCAAATATTTCTGTCTGTTATGTGAAGTGTTAATGAAGTCCATGGTTTAGAACCAAGTCTTCCCAGATTAACATTGCTCTCATTTCATTCCAGCCACAGTTTGGTGGGTCGACCACTCAGCTAGGCACATCGAGTCAGTCTGGGTGGAACTGGTCTAATGGTGGAGGATCCAGTTCTGCCACATCCAGCTCTACTGGTAGGGTAGGTGGGTTGGGTTCTAGCTTTGGCTCATCTGGAACACAATTCAATAAGCTAGGATCAACCGGGACGGGCTCTTCAAGCTCATCTTTCGGGTCAATTCCAAGCCTCGGCTCCAGTGGTACAGGATTCAATAAGCTAGGATCAACCGGGACGGGCTCTTCAAGCTCATCTTTCGGGTCAAGTTCAAGCCTCGGCTCCAGTGGTACAGGATTCAATAAACTAGGATCAACCGGGACGGGCTCTTCAAGCTCATCTTTCGGGTCAAGTTCAAGCCTCGGCTCCAGCAGTACAGGATTCAATAAACTAGGATCAACCGGGACGGGCTCTTCAAGCTCATCTTTCGGGTCAAGTTCAAGCCTCGGCTCCAGCAGTACAGGATTCAATAAGCTAGGATCAACTGGGACGGGCTCTTCAAGCTCATCCTTCTCGTCACTTGGGTCAAATCCAAGTCTTAGCTCAAGTGGGATAGGTTTAAATAAGCCAGCCCTGGGTGCGAGAGGCTCATCAACCATTGGGTCATCCTCTGGCTCTCTTGGGTCAAGTTCGAGCCTTGGCTCAAGTGGGATAGGCGCAAACAAGCCTACATCAAATGCAAAAAGTTCCCAAGTGTTTGGTTCTTGGTTTGGGACGGGGAATAGTAACTCAGGACAAAGTAAGCCAGGAAGTGGAACAGGGAAAGTACTATCAAGTGGGAGTAGTTATGGTGGAACTGGATCATCACTTGGAAGGACAAATGGAGTGGGAGGTGGCTCAGGTAAGAACAAATAAATGCAATAGCTGGAGTGGGATTATCTGTAGTTTATTATTCCCATTCTGTGACATTTTTGAAAACCAAAACTTTGTTTTTTTGATATCATGAAGCTTAAAAGCAGCTTGATTGATAACCCTCCTGGCTAAGTAATGACAAATCGCCATTCTCTTATATGTTTAACCAACAGTCAATGTCGCTCAGCACCTTCAAGAGTTGCAGCGCATCATCAACCCCTCTAGCCCACAGTGAGTATGAACTCTCCTCAGCTGAAGGTTTTGAGTGAATGTGAAAGTGTCACTGCTGTTTTTTTTTTAGTCTGAACATTGTGTGCTCGGAAGCAATACTATATTATGTTATTGTCAATAAATCTAATGAAAAACAAAACCAACAACACATTAGTTCATCTCTGTGTAATATGACTCCCCTACTCTCTTTATGCCTCTCATCCCCAAACACATTGGTTTTAACTGGAGATGTCAGTTTTTTAAATTTCATCAAAAATATATACTTTAGTTTCTTTTAAGAAGTGGCAAAATAATTTCCTAATAGCTGGGCACTGTAGTTTAATCCACTATGGATTAATACACATTTGGTGCACTGGTGAGTATTTCAGGATGATGTATGTGGGACTGAGTCAAAATAACTACCTAACAATGTGGTTTGATTATGTGTTTCTAAAGGTCCAATTTTGTATAAAGTGAGACTTTCATGTCTTTTTGATTATAAAGCAGGTCTAGGTTCTATATTAATGCGGTGAAAGTGTCAAAGTGCTCAGTCCACATTGAAATGCACACAGACCGTATTCACAAACTGTGCAACAAGCAGTCAGGGTATCTGTAACTTTGTGATTTCACAAAAAAGCAGTCCCCGCTCTGAGCCATGCCCCAAGCCCGGCCCAACTGGACCCACCATCCAACCTTGCAGAATTTGGTTTCTCTTAGTGTTCACCTGAAATCTGCTATATTTTTATTGGATCACTCGGAAAAAAGTCAAGATCAGACATATTCAAGTTACTTGCCCACTTACCATCAGCCCATTGCGACTGCTCCTTGGCAATTCAGTGTATCGTGAAATGCGCCTGAAGTCTCCCAAACCAGATTGAGTAATTCACGTCTTTTCTGAGCCAACGCTGTTGTTGCTAGAGCTCCAGAGAGAAGCCTGAGAGAGGAGATGCAAAACTACAATTAGATACAAATTATATATAATAAAACCTCAAAATTATCTTCTTATGGATCAAAACTTCAGATAAAAAAACAGAAATGTGTAAACCTTGAGATCATGAGAGGAGAGCTGTGAAGCTTTAAATTTTATGTACAATGTAATAATTCTTTCTTTCTTTCCTTCTTTCTTCAGGGACAAACAAGATCTCTCCAGGATGTTGGGTTAGTCCATCTGAGCCAAAAGAAAAATCTAAAGAGATTTGTCCATTTCATCTAATACACACAGCCAAATGCAAGCTGTCATATTGAGTTTATATATTGTATAACAATAAATGTACTATACAAAATTTATATACATTATGTGTACTATACATTGTTTATGATTGTTTATATTTCAATATGCATTTATGAAATAATTTGAATAACTTTTGCACTTTTGAATGTAAAATGTGAAGTCAGTGTTAATGATTTGTATCTACAGTAAGCCACTTATCATGAATAAGCACATGTAGTACTTTTACAATGTAAATACATAAAAATAAAATGTTTGTTTAAACGTAAACACTTCAACTGTGCCTGTCTCTTCTTTATAAACAAGGCTATTTAAGATATAACTCAATTCAGATCCGGAAATAACTGTTTGTCCCTGTGTGCGTCACCTATTGTGTGGCTAATTGTCTGCAAATGACTTTTCCGACCCCTTCTGTGAGGTTTCAGGGAAGACTTACTGGCCACGCCATTTAATCCATTCAGCATGTTTATGTTTACCTGCCAACCTGTCAACAGGCCAGCGGAGGCAGACAGGAGGAACCCGGAAATGCTCTTGTATACTTGCTGTTGTTAAAAACAATGCTGCGTCACTTGTTCATAGAGAACACAGATGTCCTAAATCCTAATATATCTCTTATAAAGAACACATGAAAGGGGAAAGATGGATTTTCTATTGGTATCTGAAGCCTAAAAACAGCAGCAGCTAGATTAGATTGTAAATCTTTGGTGTTTGCTTGGTTTATAAAACAAAGAAATGGACATCAATATAGAAAAATATAAACAGGACTGTTTAAAACACCCCATTTAAATATTTGTGAGATATGAATGGGATATTTTCCTTAAATCACTGCAATAGAGTTTTGGATTATGTTACTGACGTATTGGATAATAGAACAGCTCAATGCAAATTAAATCTCATTTAGACTAGAATAGCATTACTATGGAGCCAAAATGGAGCAGGGAAACAAACCATCATGAGAACAGACAAACATCCTGTTCGTTGCCCTGCGAAAGGATGGGAACACACTGTTAATTCAAGAACCAAAAGTGTATTGTGTTGGCGCCAATTAATAAATACAGCACTTAAACTTGAGCGAAGGGAGAGCTCTTTCCCGTCTAAAGGATATCCTTTGTTTAACATCAAGTGTTTTTCCACATTTGGGATGTGCAGCTTACTGCAGGAGTAGCTGTGAGGATATTAAAGGTCAGTTGGTTGGATGTCTTTGGGAATCACTTTATTAGACTAGCAGAGACACAGGAAGTGTTAAAACTACTGACTGGAAAATCTTCAGGATGATACTGGACATTGTGCAAATATGTTTCCCGTCATCTCAAAAAGCTTTCCTTTCAACTCATGTTTTTCTTTATTACTTGTACCCAAATGACACAGTTGACTATTGTTTCAACTGACACATTTTTTTTTTTATTGTACTTAGCAACAGTAATAATACCACAGGGGGGAAATAAGTAGATAAGCATTCAGTGGTAAATAAGACCATTTTAATAAGTGCTGTGTCGGTCAAAGCTTTTACCTTAGTACAAAGTGGATCTCATTACAAAGCTTTGTGTAACTATATAAAAATCATTTTTTTAAACACTGAATTAAGTGATTTATACTGTATGAAATGGCTTTGGTAACACAGTGTGCACAATACAGATCAAACAGTGAAGAAAAAAATTGTAAAATTCTTGACATTATAATTTACTACTGTCATTGACAATAACAAAATCAATTGTCATAAGCAAAGCCTGCCATCATTTATTAGTCAACCCATACTTGTCCCTATTTTTCAAGTAGGTCATTATTTAGGCCACATGCACTGGGATCAGGATCATCCAGTACATTGTCATTTTGAGGCTAAATGACTTCCACACATTAGACTCATCTCTGGCCATTCTTCAGGGTTCTCGACCGCACTGAGACCACTGAGAAAAAGTGGGGGCTATTGTGTCACGAGTCACAGTCTGTCCTGCCACCTCCATCCCCCTCCCAATGCAGGAAAGGGAACGGGTGCTTATGATTACGACCTCCTTCCTCACCTGGGGTTGCAGGATGGTGACCTCTTTTGTCTTTGGCTGCTAATGTCCCCTTTCTAACTGTGACTTCTAATTGCATTTCCTATCTGCCTGGCGTCCCTCACGGTCCCATGGCTGTCCAGGCTGGTATGACATCAGGGGGTAAAAGCCTTTCTCTTGTGCAGACACTACAGTGTTGAAGGGGGGAGTGAGATAAATGCTGGAAACAGCTAGGAGGGAAAATTTCCCCCAGCCCTCGGCATCCTTTTGTGTTAAAGTCCTTCAGCACAACCCTGACTTTCACCTTGACCTTTCAGCAGGGGAGTAATGGAAAGGAAAACATGGCTCAGTTTAATTGCTTAAAGAGGATGGGTTTGACTTCATGTAACCTTTGTTTGAGGAACTAGACCCATGCAGCCTCAGTTTTATGGACAATCCTGAAGTCCTAACGCTGTACACGTGATGTCAACATAACAAAACTTTTCTTGGTCTTACTGTAGTAGCACAAACAACCTAGTGTTAAACCATATATCAAAGGTGACTTTGTTGCTCTAATTTTGTCATTTTTATGTTATGGTCCACAGCTCTAAGTAATTGCTAGCATTTTGTTGCATTTGAACAATAGTTTCAACCAATCTGAACAATGAAAATATATTATGTTGTTATCCATTGGTCTGTATGTGTAGCTACGTTACAGTATGTACCAAAGAACAATAAGAGACTACAGCCATGCTGGCGGCTACGTGAGGTTGTACATAAGCATAGTGGTGCTTCAAGGTAAATACTAACATCACTTTGCTAACATGCTTGTCATTGCCCAATCTGTAGGCTACTAGAAACCCAATCCAACTCTAGCCCTAAACCCTAACCCTGCACAAACCATTTTGTGTAAAACACATATAATATACACTGAATTCAGCAGAAACTACAACATTTTTACACCAACATGTTTCCAAGAATAATGTTAAAATGTTATACTGTTATCCTTTGGTCTGTATGTCTACCAACAGTAAGAGTTTACAGCCATGCTGGTGGCTCCATGAGCCTGTATCATAGGCTGTACATGGGTTAGGCACAGTGGTCTTTCAAGCTAAATGCTAACATCAGCTTGGTAACATCCTCACAATGGCAATGTAGACATGCTGATGTTTATCGGGTATAAGTTAACCATACTTATTTGAGCTAATTAGCATTAGCAACACAGTACAGCTGGAGCTGGAATTTAGTTTTGCAAGGTTTGGTTAGATTTGGTCATAAATCAAAGCGTTGGGTCATGATAATTTTGACCTGACTAATGTTGCAAAACACACAAATTGTGCGAACTCCAGTTCTACAACATGTTTGGAGGAATGTGTCGTTACCCACTGGTCTATCCACAATATGTACCAAAGTAAAATTGTGCAAACTGGAAACAAGGACTTAATTGAGTAACAAATGACCTTCCTCAAATGTCATTTGTTGGATGTCATGAGCTGAGCTGCTGTAAGCCCAGAGCCGCTGCAAAACTGCTCTACTTATCTATGTCATTGATTATCCATCATACACTGAGAGCCTTACTGGTGCTACACCACAGGCAGGGATATAGAGAAGATTACTGATCATCTACTGTGCTAAAAGAGTAACAGAGCTAAAACCACTTCAACCCCCCACACCCACTGAGAAACATCAGTCATTGCACAAAGTTTATGTAAAAACATGATGAGAGCGACTAAACTCAGGTCGACGTTAGGTGAAGGGGCACATTGACTCAGCAGGAGGATGTCCACTCTGTGACCCTGTCATACTCAGAAATAACAAATAAATAACATAATTTTGTTTGAGGCCAAATGTAATTCTGTTCCATGGAACTTAACAAATTGTCTAGAGGTTATCAGTTCTCTTATCAGTTCTCTGGTTATTCTGAATAAAACAGAAATGAAACCTAGAGAAGTGAGCGCTATGGAACATCCCCAGCTCATTTAAATCAGTGATAATTTCTTAAATTCATAGCAGTTAATTCAGAAGGTAATCTGACTTCAGCAGTTTCACGTGTAATCTATCAAAACAGTTTTTTTCAGAGGGGTCCAAGCAGGGATACAGGTTTGGGCTCAGCATTGGTAAGGACATAACAACCCCCCCAAAACGAAGAGCATTTTAATGCTGTCAACCAAATGTTTAATTAACATATGATCTGTATTTACATTTAAATAAAAACTATACACAGTAACATCCATCCAGTAGCCATACCGCTTATCCTTATAGGGTCCCGGGGGCCTGGAGCCAATCCCTGCTGACATTGGGCGAGGGCGGGGTACACCCTGGACAGGTCACCAGTCTATCACAGGGCTGACATAGAGACAAACAACCAGTCACACTCACATTCTCACCTATGGGCAATTTAGAGTTACACAGTAACAGATGAAGAATTAAAAGAAAGTAAACTTTAGGAAATTACTTGCTAGTGGAAAAGAGAGAAAAAACAAACAATACATCCAACATCAACATTTTTATATTCACTAGGCCTGCCAGTGTTGCAGCTCCTGATATCTCTTTTTTTTGTGGCGTGATATCCTCAAAGTAGAAAACATGTTGGCATGGACAAAATGTTGACAATAGAGAAAAGGGAGTCATAAGAATTACAAAATTTTTGCCCATGCTCGAGGTCTGGACTGACACTGATAACTTAATGTTGTCAGCACATTGATCCGCTCTCGCCTCCTCCGTGTCTGCTTAAGTTTGATATTTGTATCTCCTGTGAGCCTCCAGAAAGTCCCCGACCTTTCAGCCAATCAAATGCTAGCATACCTAAATCAGACGTCTTCGAGAAGTAACCTCTGGGAAGTCACATCGGAATTATCTAATATGAATTCACTGCAAACTGTGAGTTCATTCAAATATTGGTAGAGACAATTCTGTCCTCCCAAAATATTGGTAGGGACATGCCCCTACCGTCCATATGCAAACTTACACCCTTGGGTCCAAGGATTTGAGAAGAGGCATGCCTTTGATTTGTCAGTGTGTCAGTTTTGAAACCATCAGTCCTGGAAATGTATTTTTTTTTCAAATTTTGTCTATTTTTGTTGATTTTTCTCAATAATTTACATGAAGCTATTACACTGACCTTTAACCTTAAACCTTTACATTCTCACCAATTCCTGAGGATTCCCCCCTTTTTCCCCTGTTAAAGAGGTTCTTTTGTTGAGTATTTAAAACTGGTATCTTGAGCAGGGAAGGAGTCAGCAAATGTTTAATCTTAGGCTCCACATCTGGCTTTGGAAAATAATACAACAAACAGTTCTGTA